CAAACGAATTTTTTATATCTTTGGTCGTTTTCCCATAAAGCTCCGTCCCGTTGAGCGTGAGCCACCCTGTATATGTTCAGCAGTAATTCTTTAACGCGTTGTTCAATTTCAATTATTCTTTTTTTGTTAGAAAGGGGACACCTCAATGGTGGTCACATTTAAATTTGGTCAAGATGTGGTGATGGCATCTGCACGATTTTGATGTCGGTTTTTAAAATTACTTTTAATACTTGTTATTTAGATTTTTGGTGATCCTAATGAAATGAAGTATTATACGCTTCCCTACAATAAATATTTTAGGTACTTTCATGAATATCTCCTTCTCACATTTAAATAAATTTATTTAAAAATGTAATATAAATTTTTATCACTTAAGTGATAACACGCATATCTGATGACGCGCCCGCAGCGAATGTGTTAAACGTTAAATTAAATCTGAAATGGGTAAATAATTTATTATTCCCGAGACTACAGTGTTGCCGGATGTGATGGGCTTCGTAATGGTGGTTTGTTTAACATGATCTGTATATAATCGCGTTTGACTCTTGTGCCCTCTGCCGCTGAAACAATTGAACTACAGGCGTATATTTGGAGGTATTTTCCGACATTTTAAAGCCCACCCTTTTTTGATTAAACGATACAGATGGAGTTACTTGCCTCTGAAACGAATTTATACAGTGTTTTTAGGAAGCCCGAAATCGGGCTTCGTAAGTGACTAGTTTTGGGCTTAGTAATGTCTGATTGCATGTATATATATGACCGTCTAATTCCGGTATATATATATACCGGGTGTTCAACTTAAAGCGTTACAGCTATATACCGCTTTTTATAAAAAAAAACGTTTCAGGCGAAAGTTTTATAGTTTTGTGGGGAAAAACTTTTGGCTAAAATCGTTTTTTATAGCTAACCATAATATGGCCAACTTTTTTTTCGCGCAGCAACATTTTCAAGTAGCTGTTACTCAAAAAGTAAAAGTCCAATAAAAAAAATATTTCCCTCAAAAGTTTCTTATTTTTTTATGTACTTTAAGAATATGTAAGAAAAAATGGGATTCCCATTTAAAAAAACAAAGTCCACCTCGATATGGCCATATTATGGCCAACTACAAAAAAATGAATTTAACCAAAATATTTCGCCCAAAAAACTATAAAACTTTTGTCTGAAACTTTTTTTTCTAAAATGCATATTTTCGGCGGTATTTGAGTGTGACACTTTAAAATGAACACCCGGTATATACAGGGTGTCATCATTGAAATAGTGTAAAAAAATTCGGGAGGTGAGTACTCCTAAAACTAGTAAAAAAAGTTCCTATAACTATGGGTCGTTAAATACATATTAAGGGATTTAGGGGCGTCAAAAGGGCAAACTTGGAAAGTGGTTTTTATGAAATTGTAAGCTTAAAAAACACGATAAAACTTCGAAAAAAATCCCTGTTAACATAAAATTTACTGCTGCATCCAATGGTAATATCGAAAAATTACTGATTTGATCAGAAATGGTAGTTCTTGCAAGGGTAAGGAGTCTATTTATGATTAACTTTTTAGTGGTTGATTTTTTTACAACGTGTGTCTATTTTTTAAAAACAACTACTTTTTTTCCATAAAAAAGTTACTCTTATTGCAAGTCGCTTAAAGCAACCGTTTTCGAGAAAATTGAAGACAAAGAGTTTGGTAAACCTGTAGTTGAAAAACGAAAAGTAAAATTACTTATTTTTTATGGGTATCTCACAGATTAATAAACATAAATTTATGAAAATTGTGACGTGTTAAACTAATCAACCTCCCAAAAAACTCATAAACACTAAAGAAAAAAAATATTTTCAAGTAATGTCGAAGAAATTTTATTATGAAAAATTATTTTTTGTCTGTGGGTCAATTTTTTTCTCTGAACTTTACAATCGGAAGGTAAGTGGCAACCCAAACCCCAGTAGACATTTGTGGGCACGCCACTGTCAATGAATACTTTTGGTAAATGGAATAATCAAATTAGGACAGAACAATAGCTATGTACATGGCCTTATCACAATTTTTTTATTTTAATTTAGCAAAAATAAATTGTAAATATGCATTTTATTTATGGAAGAGCGAACGGAAACGGTCTTTTAGCTAAACGTTTGTATATTCAAAAATATCCAAATCGCAGAGCACCCTCTCATAGGATATTTGCCAGAGTCCATCAGCGCCTGATAGACGAAGTTTCATTTAGTAACAGGCACCATGATCGCGGCCGTAATGTTACAGTGCGTATACCAGCAATTGAAGAGCAAATTTTAAGAAGTGTAGAGGAAGATCCAGGGTTATCTGTAAGGAGAATTACAGCGCGAGAAAACGTGAGTCGCCATACTGTGTAGCTGACTCTTCATACTCAACTGCTGTATCCATACCATATCCAAAGGGTACAAGCCCTTAATCCTCCAGACTATCCCGCTCGTGCCAATTTCTGTCGTTGGTTATTAAGAAAACTGGTAAAAGATCCCTTTTTTCTGTCAAACATTTTATGCACTGATGAAGCAGGGTTTACCAAAAATGGGATTGTTAATTACCACAACATCCATTACTGGTCCGATCAAAATCCTCTTGCTGTCATAGAAAGCCGACACCAAGTTCGATTCTCAGTAAACGTTTGGGCGGGAATTCTTGGAGATAGACTTATTGGACCCTTCTTTCTACCCAATAGGTAAATTTTAAAACTGTTCAAACGTCACCAATTCCTAATTATTATTATTCTTTTAGGCTTAATGGACAAAATTACCTTCATTTTTTGGCAAATCATTTACCAATACTTTTGGAGGAAGTTCCAATAGCACAGAGGCAGATTATGTATTTTATGCACGATGGTGCACCACCTCATTTTCCACTAGCCGTGAGAAATCATTTAAATCAAGTTTTCGAGAGGCGTTGGATAGGACGTGGTGGCCAGGCAGATCACCAGATCTTAATCCACTTAATTTCGACTTATGGGGTCACTTAGAAGCTTTGGTTTACTCAGTGCCGATTAATACTGAAGAGCAAATACGACAACGGATAATTGACTGCTCCAATTAAATTCGTACAACGCCAAGGATTTTCGATAGGGTACGCAGATCTTAGAGGAGAAGAGCAGGTGTCTGTATTGAAATGAATGGTGGCCACATTGAAAATGTACTTTAAATAAAAGAGTCAGACTGATATGATAAAAAAATACGGTACTTTCCATAATAGTAATAAAATAGTTTTCACTTTAATTTCTCACTCTTTTATTATTTAAAATAATTTCGACGCTTCTCTTGTTTAACAGTGCGATTTGGTAATTCTAAATTGAAATAACCACGCCATAATTTTCATAAATTTATGTTGATTAACCTGTGAGCAACCCATCAAAAAATAAATACATACTTGTTTGTCAAATACGGGTTCAGTAAAATGTTTGCCTTCAATTTTCTCGAAAACCATTGCTTTAAGCGACTTGCAATAGGAGTACCTTTTTTATGGAAAAAAGGTAGTAGTTTTTAAAAAATAGACCCATGTTGTAAAAAAATCAACTCCTAAAAAGTTAATCATAAATCGACCCCTTACCCTTGCAAGAACTACCCTTTCTGATTAAACAAGTAATTTTTAGATATTACCATTGGATTCAGCAGTAAATTTTATTTCAGCATTGATTTTTTTAGAAGTTTTATCGTGTTTTTTAAGCTTACAATTTCAAAAAAACCACTTTCCAAGTTTACCCTTTTGACTCCCCTAAATCCCTTAATATGCATTTAACGACCCATAGTTATAGGAACTTTTTTTTACTAGTTTTAGGAGTACTATCACCCTTCGAATTTTTTTACACTATTTCAATGACACCCTGTATATATGTAATTATAGCATATTTCTCATAAATTTACTTATCCAACGGTACCAATAGGTTAGCCAAGAACACTTATCTCATGAGTGCATAATTAAATATTATAAAAGTTGTTGTGACCATATTTAAGAATTTTTCTTTTATATACAAGGGGATGACATCCTATACTTTATAAAAGCAAAACATTTTGCAGGTAGTTATTTATATTTGATTGTTTTCTCATCGTCATACAATTTTAATACACTTCATTTATTTGCTATGTTGTATATAAGGTGAGTCAAAACGTGACGTTACGATTTTCTTAATTTTTTAAATGGAAAATCCTGTTTAATTAATTAATTGGTGAATAACATACACGGTAATTCATTCACAAAAATTAAGAAAATCGTATCCTCGCGTTTTGCCATACCTTATAGATAACATGACAAATAAATGAAGTCTATTAAAATTGTTTGACAATGTGAAGACAAGCAATTATATATATCATCTGTAGGGTGTATTGCTTTAAAAAAGTATAGGTTTGATCAGCCTCCCATTTATGCAACTTTTATATTAAATTTTATTTCGTATTTCCAATAATAAAACAGCTATCAATCAATTACGCCCTAATGGGACGACACCCTGTATATGTGTTTTTGGCCAACATGTTGGTATCGCTAGATAGGAAAATTTATAAGCAATTTTATGCTATAATAATATATAGGGTGTTGCATTTGATAAAATTGAGTAAATTGAACTTGAAATTTGCCATTTTTGAGCCATGTTTCAAAATACTCTGTATAAAATAAACCATTTCTAACACTAATATTTGTTAGCTCAGTATCCTCTTAGCTTCTATTTTAAACAATTTTAAAATCATTATAAATCTACCTAAGTTATGATAATTTAATTTGGGATCTACATCATTCTCTAATATCATAAAAAAATTAATTGCTTGTCAATCCTGTAGTATTTTTAAAAACATTTTGGGGAGGAATACAAATAATTCTAAAACTGAAATAAAATAAAGGGTATTCTATTTAAAAAAGATATATTTTTATTATCCAGGCAAAAACGCAATACCCTGTATGTCCAAAAATTAATTTTAAATTATGTATTTTAAATCCATCTAACTTTATTTAAAAAAAAAAATACTTATCTCAAATAATTTTGTATTTTTTATAGAAACTCACCGTTGTATTAAGAAAATAGAAAAATATTAACAATATCATTGTATCACGTCACTAAACACATGAATTAAATTCAAAAAACTGGTATAAACACAATCTCATTACCAAGCAGGGAAGCGACATCGTGTCTAACGCTTTAAAGGGTCTAGATCTATAATATCACATGCTACAATTACTTCACGTGAAGTTGATCTTTATGATAGTAATTTTCGATATAATAATATAAACTGATTGTTTCTTGTGTATACGAATGTTTCACGAAAACTTATACATTATTTCTGCTGAATGCGTCTAGTGAAAGTTCTTAGTCCGCCAATTAAATAATGGAGATAGTGTTGTTGAAATTAGAATACATTTTACTTTTTATCCTAAGATATTAAGCTGTTATTTTTAAGTTTCTTTATGACGACGATTGTCTTTTCGTAAGCTGAAGGCGGCGCCACCTAGATTTTAAATAGGAAATACATTATTTGTAATTAATACAAAATACATCATTTATATAGTTTTTTTAGTCTAGGATCTGCAGGATCTTGGTATTTTCAAAGAGTACAAATAAAAAGAGGACAGCTAGAGCGAGAAACTGAAATCGACAGAGATAGGGCTACACTCCAATTTAGAGCGATTTAAAGGGCTGTCATACGCGGGCTATAGGCGCTAACTGTGTGTATTTAAATAGTACCTTGTTCGCAACTAATTAGGATACAGTTTTGTTTTACAAGTCAACTAGTGTCATTAACAAAGATATCGCATAAAATAAATACGCCAGTTGTATATTATGTATATAATAGATTCTTTTACGTTATAATTAGATTATCTTTGTTAAATAATCATTTTTAGTTGATAAATAGGAGTAAAACCTTATTATTGTTGTTATTTGAGATAACTTTACTGTAGGCTATAGTCCAGAGTTGTCTTAAATACCAATTTAAATTTATTTTTACCTTAATAAAATTTTTAAAAATAAAAGTTCCGTTTTTATTGACAAAATGTAAAAATTTTAAATTTTTGAGAAAATTATTTAAATAAAAGTAGATTGTAATGTCATTCTCTATATTTACTGTCCTATACATAATTTCTCCTAAAATGGACCATATTCGAGATATTTGAGAAAAGTTTTGAAGAGGTCTCAAAAACCGATAAAGTGAAAACCACAACTCTTTAATTTAAGCTTTAATCCACCCTACAGTAAACTGATAAAAGTTTGGGCATAGTCGGAACATCTAGGGGTATTTTATAGAAGTAAGGTTTTCTACTTTATGGAATATATCTGTTTTTTTACGCTTGGAGATGAACATTATTCAAATAAAATTACTCAAAATACTATTCTCTATCATTAAAAATTGTGGTTAAATTTACTGTACATATTTTTGTTATATGTATATATTATGACGTAATTTGGTTAACTAAAAATTAAACACTCTATGTTTGGTTTTGAAAATAAAAATGAAAATCAATGTTTCGGGAAAAAAAGTCAATTTTGAAGTTTTTAGAAATTAATTATTGATTGTCAGGGGGAATTGTAAATGGGATTTTTTGTAAAATTGTTAAATAATATGAATTTATGTTAGAGTTAGAGAAAAATGGAATTATTGAATGTTCATTACTGTTAATCCAATGGAGAAGTAAATAAAGAACATTAAAACATAAGGTAAAAGGAATATTTTATTAAAAAAAAAAAAGTAAACGAAAACTAGTAAGGCGAGATAGCAGTATTAAAGCAGGAGACAGAATGGTCGGAGCATAGAGTAGTAGAGAACGTGCAGACTATACGGGCAGACAAGGCGAAGAAGAAGAAGAAGAAGAAGAAGAAGAAGAAGAAGAAGAAGAAGAAGAAGAAGAAGAAGAAGAAGAAGAAGAAGAAGAAGAAGAAGAAGAAGAAGAAGAAGAAGAAGAAGAAGAAGAAGAAGAAGAAGAAGAAGAAGAAGAAGAAGAAGAAGAAGAAGAAGAAGAAGAAGAAGAACAAGAGAAGAAGAAGAAGAAGAAGAAGAAGAGAAGAAGAAGAAGAAGAAGAAGAGAAGAAGAAGAAGAAGAAGAAGAAGAAGAAGAAGCAGATAAGAAAATTAATATTATAAATTAATATTTTTGTTACTATTTTTTAGAATCAAAATTAGATTACCTGAGGATCAGACCAAACATAGAGAGGATAGGTAAATTAATATTTGGAATTGAAAATTGTATAGAAATTTCAAAGGTGAGTTTATTTTTTTTAATTTTTCTTTCTCTTTGATTATCTAAATTATTGATAGTGAGAAATATAAGTGAGTGAAGCCAACCCAAAATTCTAATTTAAATATAAGTGTTCATCATATAAAAAAAAATTATATAATTACTGAGCTAGCTATACTGGGTATTAAAAATAAATTATACATCTAATTCTTATATTCATATCAATATGTATATAAGTTGATGGGATTATTTAATTATTATTTCATATTTGCCATATTTTCTATATAAATAAAAAAATAACGTAATTTTTTATGTAAAAAACATGTTAATATATGTTAATTTCCTTTTCAAATATTAAAATCAGTACTTTTACGTTTAAAATGAAACCGCTATGACCCTGTACCATATTATAAGAGGTTACAAATTTTCGGTTTTTATTTTACCTCGAGTTATTTCGCAAGAAAACACAAAGTTGCATTTAATTAAATATTCGCAGTAGATTTTATTTTAACTATATTATTGTCAATTTTATTTTAACTATATTATTGTTTTATTACGTTTATTTTATACTGTCCGGTATATATGTCGTAGCCAGATTACAAAACCCGTCGTTTTATAAATTGCCTAGGCGTTTTATAAATTGCCAAATTGTCAAAGTTTCGTTTACCTTTCATTATTTTACTATCTGGCTAGTCGGATTATAAAATGCCTAGGCATTTTATAAAAAGACAGTCAATACATGGCCAAATTGTCAAATATTTAAGACTATCCTCTGTTTGACATTCCGGAGGGTTAGGAGTTTCAGTCGTCTTGTAAAACACTGCCAATTTTCGACATGAACAATTTAATTTTAGCTGATAATATCTGTATTAGTAAAAATGCAGAAAATAAAAAATCAAATGATAAAGAACAAACTATATGTACAATGTATAATTTCGCAGTAGGTAAGTTATAAAATTAAAGGGAAGTGAAAATATAGGGAAGTGTAATATTTGGTGTAAGAAAAAGTAATAAAAATACAGTGCAAAATAGATTAGAAACATGTATCTGACCAAATGGTCTAAATTACAAATATAAATAGAAATATTTGCAGGTGGGGGAGCCTATAAACATTTTAAAAATTTGCCAGGGGTCCGCTTGACCCTAAAGCTGTGTTAAAAACTATTCTTGATGTACGAAATGGATTATACTAGATAGGAACTAAACATGGGCTTTAAATCGACGGTTTTCTAGAGACCAACTTAATTCAATTGGTATGTCAAATTAAATCCAGAAAATACCAGTATTACGTTAAGAGAAGCTATTTCTAAGGGTTTTTAATTTGGGGGACAAGGGTTTACAGACAAATGTCTTGGTTTTGAGGCACGGGGAAAATGCCACAGTGGGTGTCATTTCAGTGGTCCGTGTTCTAATAAATAAAATACTAATAGCGTCTTCGAATCTACTGCACAGCTTGCACTGAGTGCATACAAAAGGTGGGAGATATGTCAATATCAGTTACTTTTCAATCTGAAGTGTAACCGGTATCGATATATCGCTCATCTTTTAAGTGCACTCCATGCAGGCAGGGCAGTGGAATCGAAGACGCTATATAAGTTAATTAAATTTTGCACTTTTCCTCAAATTTCTTTCATTACGGTCCATGTATTAAAATCACGTATTTGACCAAAATTATAGAAAATAACATCACAAACAAATCTGGTTGAAAGAATTTTCTTCTATAATCATAAATCACAGAAATATACCTTTAAGTAATATTAAAAGGCCATATTTTGTGCAGAAATCGTACGGTTGGATCTAAGACTATTATTGGTTCTTTTAACGGTAAACAAGTGTTGTTTGTAGTTTATTTGTTTTTCAGTTTATTTGTTCTAAAGTTTAATTTGTTCTTCAGTTTAATTTGATCTGTTTATTTGGAAAATATGTTAAATATTCGTTATAAAATGTTTTAATTTCATTAAATCCATAAATAAATATTTTCATGGCCCTAACTTTAAAGTTAAATTCGTATTTTATAAAACGACTAAAACATTTTTACCCGCCAGAATGTAAAGCAGAATATAATTTTAAAAATTTGACAATCTGGGCCGCGTGTTGACCGTCATTTTATGAAACGCCTAGGTATTTTACAATCCGACTAACCAGATCGGAAAATAATGAATGATAAATGAGAATTTGACAATCTGGTCGCCTTTTGTAAAATGTCTAGACATTTATAAAACGACGGGTTTTTACAATTTGGCTACGACATATACACAGTTATGGTAATGATTTCAGTCCGGTAAATGAGTTATTATTTTTGCAGAATTACGGTCTGGTAAGTGTTGCCTAGCAACACTTACCGGACTGTTAGATTACTATGACAACATATGGATAATAACGAAATATTTTTTTTTCGCAAAAGAATATCTTCTTGCACTATTTGTACTTAATTTAGCTTCTTAAAAAATCATTTTCTGACTCTGATAAAATTTCTTAACAAATTATATTTCCTTTGTCAATTTCAGCCATTTACGAAAATAATATGACAGAGCAAAACAAACCAAACCATTCTGTATAAAAAAGGTTATTAGGTTTCCTTACACAGAATATTCAAAAGTGATAAATTTAAAAATTATTTTTATGTATTTAAATAAAAAAAGAAATAAAATATACGTTGGTGTTATTACAGTACTCGTTTGTTTTAGACTCGGCTCTTTCGTCGTCTCTTCCGTAAAACAACCCTTACTGTAAAATGTTACCTACCGAACTTTTAACCAAAAATACTATTTTTTATACAACTGCTTTGAAAAGTAGCGTATTTCTCATAGCTCACTTAATTTTAAAACCATGTATTGGTCAGACTATAAGAAATATTTTTCTCACGGTACTTTGCCCACTTATGGAAAATCAACAAAAATCGAAGAAAACTTAGTTGACTTCTGTTCAGATTTAAATAGTTGTCCCAACTGTCAGTTGACTACAGTTTTTTAAATTTTTAAGCTAGTTTTTATTCGTACTTTGGTAAAAATCGAAATTTTCGTTAAATACAAAGAGGTTAGAAAGGGTAGAGGTAACATAGCATTTGCCGCTGCGCGAATTTTTCCAAAATCGAAAAACTGGGTGGAAGGAGTGGGAGATGTTCTGGACCAGACTTAAATATTTGTATTGTAGTACCTAATTTTGGT